ATAATAGTGGAGAAAATCTTTCCTGATTCATTTTTATACCTAAATTTAAAATTTAAATATCTCCCTCTAGACAAGCCAACAGCCGCTAATATTTTAACCTTGTTAGTTTGGCGGTGAGAGCTTTCATTTGACCCGAATATGTGCCATCGTTTTAAGTTACAGTACAAACACCTCCATTGTGAGTGAATTTCAACTTTTTAGTATAAATGGTGCGAAAAAACAAATAGATGTGAATAATTTCTGAGTAGTTCATTTGATTTTACTTTATGCTTATGTTATGTAGAAAAAGTTTCGCAGCACTTCAGTGAATAGAGAGAGAGATACACAGTGTAAAGTTCAATTTCTGCTTAATTCAATGGTTAAAGCATGATTTTATTCAATGAAAAGGCTCGAGTCACTTATGCAGGCTCTGCTCAGAAAGTGAAGAAGTATATTATGTTTTTGGGTACTTCGATCATTTTTTTCTCTAATGTAGAAATAAGAGAAAGTAAACATTTTTATATGAAAAAGTTCTTTAGTATTTGGTGTGCTGTTTTTCTATTCAAGTCATTCGTAGATTACGGAAACGATGATTTTATGTCACTAAATATGAAAAAAAAACAGTGTCTGTTATTAAATGTCGAGAGCATATGTACATAAATGAAAAGATGTATTAACTAGTAAATCACATATATTCAAGCTAGAAAATGTCCTATTTATATTTTTATTTCTACTTCTTTCGTTTATCAAACAAGCATCTCCTTCACACATATGTCTCGTTTAACAATGCCATTTTATTTTCTAATTGTCAACTTTATACCTAAGAAATTATACGAGATAGAAACATGAACTTTGCTGTATGTATGAGCGGTCTGTTAGATCAAAAATTTTCGGATCCGAATCCAACGGACTCTAGTCAGCATGAAGAATTATGAGAGAAATAGAATTAAAGATATCACTTTAAAATCATTCGATCGAAATGAAAGTTATAGTCTAGATATTCGAAAATAGCAATTATACGAAAAAGTCTTAATTCACTCATCTATTTCATAGCATAAGCAAATTTTAAATTCATGTATAGTATATTCCTAATGATTATCATTGTATTATAATTGATCTTCGATGTCACGGAGAAACTATTGAATTAAAAGAAGATGATCATACTATTGATATATTTCTTGATAAACTAAAATTGGTATTGAATAATTTTAATTAGAATTAATTTTCTATATAGTTTTTTGATGAAATGAATTTAATTGAACCTATGTATATTATTGGTGCATCAATGAGTGCAACCATTGCTGCTATTTTTGCTACTAAATATCCTAAATATATTAGTATGATTTGTTTACTTGCACCGGCTTGTAAATTTTATTAATTCCAATGTCTATGTTGTTTGTATTTTTAAAAATATTATAGCTATAAAAGAATATGAAAGTGATGCAATAAAAAAATTACGTTTCGGAACAGATTCTATATTTTTACCAGAAAATTGTGAAGAATTTAACGTCATGGCTGATGTATTGACAGTAAAAGATTTTAATCTATCACAAGTATTTATTGATAAATATTATAAATCAATTATTACGTCTATTAGATGAACAAAACTTAAATATGATTATTTTAATCTTGAACAATATTATGAACAATTAAAATATATTAAATATCCAGTTTTAATTTTTTGGGGTCGTCAAGATCAAGTATATATATATATTCAATAAGAAATATTTCAATTTTAATTGTAATTATAATAATTTAGTTATGTGAAATGAAAGATGTTGAATATTTTTCTAAATTAATTTCCAATTCATAAATAATCATTTTTGATGATTGTGGTCATTTTATATCGTATGACAAGTCAAAAGAAACAGTAAAAAATATGATCAAGTTTTTAGAATTTCATTCGTATTGTTTGATTGATTTATCAGATAAAACACAAGATTATATTCGAGTTTTATATATTTTTAATTATATAGTTCTATTAATTAGTTTTTTTTTCTCTTTTAGATTCAGTTAATTACTATGATTGTATAATAAACGAAGTTTGTATATAAAGAACAATATTTTTTTTTGTACCTTGCAGTTTGTATGAAAAAGTTATTTACTAGGACTAATAATTCCGTAAAAGAAGCAAAAAATTAATGATTATTATGAATAACATTTCGTATGAAAAAATGATTTTATGCTTGAGGAAACATTTTCTATTAAATGAGTTCATTGACAATGTTCATGAACAACTATTCTAATACACGACACTATGCAGTTCAAGTCTTGGCGCTAACCTATCCAAGCTTTTACCTGTTCAATCTAGGGTAGGTTTTAGCCTATCCATACCTCGTGATTCCGTCGCCTATGGTGATGAGTATATTAACACCATTCTATTCCCACACCTGTCTGTTCTTCAATGAGCATTCGTTGCATTAAGCAGATTGAAATGCTACATATATACTGTTGCTTTTGGCACAGTTGATATATGAGTTATGATAGTATGATTAAAAATGAAAATAATATTCTGATCAATTGTGCTTGTTTTCATGATCATGTATGATCTCTCTATTCTAGTATACATTGTAGAGTTCCGCGGATCAAACTTTTTCATGTTCACAAGTTCTTTTGAATTGTTTCATAAAATCTCGTTTGTCCTGTTGACTGAAAGGCAGCTGACTTGCTGCTTTTTACTCGCTTATTTTCCATAGTCATGACTCAAGTTAGTCACTCGTTTTTTACACGTAGCCATTATTTTTAAATGACAAAACGCTTGCCAAGATCATGAGAATGTGACGAATAAATGTCTGGCACCAATTTTTCAAAACCTCGATTCCGTTCGGCACTATAAAAATACAAAAAATGATAATTTCCCTTTATAACAGTAGTTAGTTTAGATTGATTATCTCTTAAATTGTCATCTGAGTCGATATTTCTAAACGTGAATGAAATTCATTATGATTTCCTCTACGTGAAAGTCTAAGATTTAGAAATGGCAGATGTTCTATAGGATCGTGTTTTTCTGACTCTTTTGTTCAGTCGCTTTTTCTACTCGGGCTTTGCTCGAGTAGCAGTCTAATTTTTTTTAATCTATTTGCTTTTCTGTTATTTCTTTGAATATTAAGATATTTTTTAGAAATAAAAGAGTTAACGTGTACAAAACATTTTTATATCACAATTAAAAAGCTTCAGAAGATTAATTTTTTTCTATATTGCTTTATTGTGCGAGACAAATGAAATTTTTTGGAATTCTGGACTGTAACACATTGTTATATACAACTATACTTCTATGATATTGAGTATATTTGAGCGTACATATTTGTTTAGTAATTGTAATGATATCATGAAAAAGTATTTGTATGCAGTACATGATAGATATGATAAGAATGAAAAAATATATAAAATTGTTGAAATATTTGTTCTTTTTTTTTTTTTTGAATTACTAATTTGTAAAAAAATTTTAATTTATCATAAAACAAAATTAAAAACTTAATTTTGAGTTCACATAAGATATTAAAAAAGAATAATGAATTAAAAAAAAACATTTACATATTCAAACACTTAAATCATTCTATTCAATTTTCATTTAAGTAAATTATATTCGAATTATTCATTGAAAATCATTTAAAATACGAACATGTGGCTGCCATGGAAAAGGACATTTAGTAATATCTATACTCAATTCATGTGTTTGAAGTGTACGTTCATTTATTAATCGAATAAGTTTTCGATCACAATCAAGAACTAATTGAAATGCATCATTTTTTTCTATATCACTTTGATAATTATTAAAATTAGAATAAGTAACACCATGTAGATAAACAATATTATTCGTTGACCAACCATAAAATGTTGGATTTTTATATGGATTTTCATTTTGTGATCTACTTTTCGATATAATTCCCATTATAACCAAACTATTTGAGTCATAAAGATCAAGTTTGAAACGAAATAAATGATCACCTGATAAATATTCACCTTGTAAAGTTAAATTTGTACAATTTTCAAATTGATTATGATTTGTTTGATATTTGAAATGATTTATTGATGGTATCATATAATCATTTATTTTATCAATAAGTGAAATTTTTGAAATAAATGGATTTCCATTATTAATTGAAGAAATTTGAATATTTTCATGTTCAAGAAATGTATTTTGTAATCTTTGAATTATATTTGTCCATTGTTTTAAATCATCTTCAAAAAAATTTCCATCATAACGAGCTTTAGTTATTTCTTGTGTAAGTTGTGTTAATTTTTCTTTTATATTATCTTGATGTTCTCGAGTAATAATTATTAATTGTTGACGAATTTCATTAGCTGTACGATAAATTTTATTAATTGATTCTTTTTCCCATTGATCAATTTGTTCGATTAATAGTTTATAATATTGATCTGTTTCTTCATTAGATATTTGTTGTTTTAAACGATTATGATTATTAATTATTTCATTCATTTGTTTTTCAAGTATTTCTCGATGTTCATTAGTATGATTTAAACAAAAGGTTTTTGAACAACCACGACATGTAAACATACCAGCTGCTGTCCCACATGCTATACAAGAATTATTTTTTCGTTTCAAGGTACTCATATATATGTATATATGTCTGTCAGTGGTGATGTGTTGATAGTAAATGTAATCGTAATGAAAAGATAGACTGAAAAACAACTGTTGCTACTTGATATCAACTTAAGGTAAAAAAATTTGCTATTCAAAAAAAAAAGGTGTCTTGCTTTTCATCAGTTCTTTTTTTTTTTGTTTGTCAGAAGAAGAAGTAAATAGATCAATATTATGAGTTGATGAAACGATAAAATCTTATCGTTTATTAGTGTAAAATAAAGAATAGCGAATTATTTTAATTTTGAACCTGATAGATTGTTTGTAAAACAAATGTGTCAGGTGTAATGAAGTAGAGATACATTGTATATGTAGGTGTATGTGTGAATGTGTATAAAAGAGACTGTTATCTTTATATTCACGTCCATACACAATGGTTTTAAGGCCCCCTTCCCCCTAAAAAAAAGTCAATTTTCGTCAAAAATTCAGAAATTGAGATAAATACCATGGGGAGATAGCCCGTCATCTGCTCTTTCATAAACGATAATTTGTTTTTTTCGTTACTTCATTTTTCCCAAAAAATTTTCAAGATTTCCGTCAACCCCTATTTGAAAAACCAGCTGTTTTTTGAATAATCAAAAAATGCTTTTCGTTTTTTCTCAGTTTCTGCTTTCTCAAAAGCGCATCCCAAATTTTTCCTTCCTGGTTCGTTCAATGTATTAATATTTTTTGTTTGTTTGAAAGAGCATCTCAAGACGCAGGGTATGATGGGGCCACTTTTTTTAATTAAGCCTTTGTTTGGTCAATACACAGCCAGTTATATGATTTGGTTACCATTTTTTTTCTACTTTTTTCAGTAATGGAACTTGTGATATCTTTTTTGCGCTTAAAAAGGGACTATTTCAAAAAATGGCCCCATCATGCCCTGCATCTTGAGATACTCTTTCCAAAAAAAAAATATTAATATATTGAACGAACCAGCACCGAAAAATTTGGGATGTCAAATGAGTCATTTTTACCCTTGTTTGGTTCATATCTCCCTAAAACCTGAAGATTTCAGGCCGAAAATTTTATGGTAGTCTTCCATTTCCAACCCCAACATATCCTGAAAGTTTCATTTAATTTGGAAGTTCCTGGGCTAATATAGATTTTTGATGGGGAGGGGGGGAGGGGCTTAAGATTATATCATACATTAAAGAGTAGAAAAGCAATTCATCGTATTGTTTGCATTTACAGTTTTGTCTTTTCTTCTCTTGTTTGTTCTATAATTCTTTCTATTTCATTTTACATTTTATTCTATTTTCTTATCATACATTTCTATATAGTCATGAAGGAGTGAGATACACTCTTCAGATAGAGAATAGGAGACCAAAGCAACATGTATCCTTATCTTACTGTTGAGGTAGCACATACTTCATCTGATCTGTTGGAAACTGATTCAAATCTAACACATACAGAGTTATTTCCGTCAAATCATCACGATATAGAAAAGCAAAAATGTAATGCTAATGATGGCGTGGCTTGCTCTTCTTTGAAACATCAAACATCTTTGAAAGGTTAGTTCTTGAAATGAGTTTCTAAAAACGAACAGCATAATTGAACAATTCATATATTTTTCTTTACAAAAGTAAAAATTGGATCCACATTCTATACTGAAAACATGAGTATAGTTTCATTCGTTGTTCTCTAGTTTAGAAACTGTTTAATTATGTCGTGAAGTTTTGATGATTTCGAAAATAATATTACATCTTTCTTCATGTCCAAAGTACACTAATTTTAATGTCCGAGTGTTGTAATTGTTTTTTATTTGTGTATACTCTGTTGGAAATTATAAGAAAAACCATGTGAAAATTATAAAATGATTCAAATTCATTTATTTGTTCTTGAGAATAGATAAAATCAACCATCATATGTGATATGAAGCCCTGATAAGAGCATGAAACAATTCATAGCATTTCAGTTGTTGTTACACGAACATACTTTGGTATCATCAATTTATACATATATCTAGCTAGTTTTTGACACGTTCTTGAGGACATATGTGCTGAAAAGCATGAATTTCACTTTATTCGGAACCGTATACGTGGCACGACAGTTGTGCGTACATCATTTTTTGATTTTCTGAGAATACTATTAGCATCTCCAGGAATGCTAGATGCATGCTCAGAACTGCTTGTGAACATCTCCAGCTCCCCTGACCTGTAGAAGTCTATCAGTCAGTCGACTCGGCTCTTGCGAGTTGGAGAGCTGGAGCAGCTGCAAACCTAGTACGGGGTGTGCGTGTTCGTGGCTATAGGTGTGCTGTGAATGTCTTTGTGGGTTATAAGAAGCTGCGCACTCACACTCTCAGCCACACTTACATCTCAAATACATTTTACGCGCTAGCGTTGTGCACGGAAATGTCGGTAAACCTCCCTATTATCTGAGATTCTGAGATGAACTATCATATAGAAACATTTTTCACGGTATACGACACCAGAAGAACATTATTGATTCCGTCTGTCCACCGTGATCAATGGAGCAGATCGAAGGCAGGGAAAATGGGGAAGGAGAAAGAGTTGGTTCACTTTTATCGCTACATATTGTTTCATTTTTTCTGTGAATTTGAGCCTTACAGACGACGAAAAGAAAGAAAATGAAGTTATGCTATTCTTCAAAACTAGTGAATGGATTATTTCTGAGTGTCTACGGCTGAAATATTTAACAAAACAAAAATTATACAATACTACGATATTTTGCCAGAGAAAGAGTTCACAGAGCTGTAAAACATATCAGTACTTGTATTTGTAGGATACAATAAATTTTTCAAATGAATGATGAAAATCAAATATTATCATCTATTAAAAAGTACTTTTCTCAACGACTTAGGAGATTACGTAACAAACAGTATATGATGAAAAATGACCAATTTATTATGTTCTAACATAATGGCTCATTGTAATTTAAATAAAAGTTTCAGCAAAGTAAATATTCATAATGTGATTATTACAATATGCCATTGAGAAGAGTAATCTTTGAAAATTTTTGCACATCTCTAACGAATCCAAAGTCTCAGTCTGACAATAATTAAACATCGATTAACATTGATTCTACCAAAGGACAGTATTCTTTAATAATTAATAGATGTCAAAAGTTTTGTTAATGGCGTAAATAAATATTAAATGCTCTTGAATAAATAAAATATTTACTATGTTTATTGTTTCAGCTGGTCAACGACTTCTTCAAGTGACTGCCAAACACAATATCAACACTATATTAGCCGATCGACTTGAGTTGCTCAAAGATTTTGACATAGTCGTTGTCTGTGCTGATTCAGCATCTATGAACACACGACTCGATGACATGAAGTATAGTCGCTGGGATGAACTGCGTTTGATCGTGGAGGTTATCATCGAAATTGGCAGCATTTTTAATTCGAGTGGGATTGATGTGTATTTCCTTAATCGACCACCATTACTTAATGTTTCTGATCTCGGATATATAGATCAGGCATTTACTTTCGAGCCACATGGCTATACACCGCTTGTTTCTGTTCTGAGAAAGATCTTTAATTCATATAATGATGAACGAGACAATGATAAAAGAATACTTGTTTTAGTGGCAACAGATGGAGAACCATCCAATAGTGAAGGTGATAGTGATGTAGCTACTCTGAAATATGTTATGCAGCAGGAACGTGAATCAGATAGAATTCATGTGACATTTCTTGCCTGTACGGACAATGAATCGAATGTTATTTACTTGGACGAATGGGACAATATCATGACCAATGTCAATGTTACTGATGATTATCGAACAGAAAGAGATTTTGTGCATAGAAATCATGGGTCACATTATCCATTTTCGTTTGGTGATTACATTGCTAAGGCTTTGCTCAACGCCATTGATCCAAAAATCGACGTGTTCAAAGATCCCGAAACTCGAAACAATATCAGTGCAAACAAGGATACCTTAGAGACTTCATAAAATTCTTGGACTAATATTTTCTTCAATTATTTTAAACTATCATTTTCGTTATCTAATAATGTTTATCATGATTCAGAGTGTCATTATTAATATTGTTTATCAGCGGTTTTAGCTACTCCTTTAGTAATAAAATTGTAAGTGCTGACTAGCTTAGCGTTTTATTGATAATTCAACTGCTTCCTATGATCCAATTGTTTGACAAATCGGTTGACTAATTAAACAATATAACAAGTCTTATGAGTTATTTCCTATTTCATACATTGACTATGCAGTCTATAGTTCTACAATTTTGTAAATGTGTCCTCGAATGAGCACTTGTTTGGTATCCTTTCGTATGTTTGTTTGATATCATCAAAAAGATGTCGAATGAAAAAGATAAATGGATGTAGACAAAAAACAAGATACTCCAAAATCCGTCAAAGTTGAAATTAGAAGATTTCGATCGGTTCTATTTATTTGTTGGTGAGACTTCGTGAAGAAAAAACATTTGATAAAATCTAGTTGTACTAAATTGAACACTTTGCAGCTAAACATAACTTAACGAAAATTTGGAGTTTTTCATTTTAAATGGTTGAGAGATTTTTTGTTCATTGAAACATTGTTTCTATCATCAAAAGAAGAAAGAAGATATCAAATATTTGACACAACTTCATACATTTTGTTTTATAAAAGACAATTAGTTAGAATCTGTTTTTTTTTATGATCTGTTGTAGAACTCACATATATTCTCGAAGAAATTAGTGAGTGTAAATTTTAGGTCGAAGTTTTCGTGGCTCTCTCCTCCCATTACAAACACTTAGCAATGAAAGCTCCGATTACAGACATTCCAGTATGATAGACCATATCAACTAGTTTTAAATTTTGTCGAGTATTCTAGCTTATAGTACCTATGTGAGTTCCACATTTCAGCCCCGAAAGGGCTGTGCTAATAAGCTTTTTTTTATAGAAGTGTATTGCCTATTGAGAAACACTTTATTTCCGTTTGAATCCATTTTAAGTGACTGACTTCGAACGTTTCACTTATAATCTATAACGAGTTTTCCAATATAAATGACTATTTCATGCTGACAGACAAGTGATCTTTGATGAATTTCCAAGAAGTGAATATCTCATGAGCTTTTTCGTATCTTTTCATTCCGTCGTGTATATCGATTAGATACAATAAGCTCGAGAATAAATGATGCCTGAGCAAAGAGTCAACCGTTTGTTGCTTAAATAACTGTTCAATTATCTGTCTTAACCATATTACAAGAATAAATAACTCTGATGGTTGACTTGAAAGACATTCGCGACTGATAGAGACACGCTACAGAAGAAAATCTTACCTTAAAGACAGCGATCTTTCTATCGATCTATAACTAATGCAAATTAATTCAAACAAGTATCGTATGTTCTCGCTGAAATTTTCTGAAAGTACTAAAATTCGAATCAAAATAACAGCTTGATATTTAGCCACAGACATCAATACACGTACGCATGTTCGTATGCACTGAAAAAACATATCTAGAATAAAATTTTAAAAATTTCGTCCACAAACAAGGTTTTGTGTACAGAGCATATGACTTCAACACCCGAATCACAGCCTACGTAGTCAATCAAATCAATATTATCTTTGTGTTTTCGACGTTGAAACTAAGGAAACTCAGCTGTAGCAGACGATGATAGATTTTCAGATCATTTCACGTAATCATTCTTATCAGCTGATGGATTTTAACGATAAATAATACAGCAACAGTTCGACTAGTCGGATTATTTTAACCAGTACACACTAGTGACTAAGATAAGGAGTGACCTAATATGGTATTTAGCCGCTGTCTTCATGTCGATAAAAAGCTACTTTTGTTGTAGTATCTTTGTTACTTTCTTCTTCTTGTACGGCAATGTCTAAGTGAATATAGGCGGCAATAGCAACTAATACGTCTGTAACATCTAAATGAAGTCTTTTTGTATCTGTCACTATTTATTTCACGCATCTGTTGAATGCGATTTTATTCATCTCTGCTACATAATGAAGTCGTTATTTAGAGACACTCCTTCGTCACTGTTTTAAGTGGTGGCTATACTTTAAATCGAACATTCAATCGTACCTGTCATAATTGCAATATGTTCAGATCAAATGATCGATGATAGAATGAAGTAATTGAAAACGCTAGTTTCTTTTGACATTGGCCAACACTAATAAACTAATATGTATGTCGGCTGATTGAAGTATTTTAAATGTTCTGAGATAACTAAAGAGTTCTAATTTAACATATTCTGACGTTGAGATGATAGTCAAATAGCAGCTATGATTTAAACATGTTATTATTACATATCTTGGTTACATATAAAGTATGTATTTATATCTAGCATGATTATTTATTTTTCATGTCTGCATGTGCACATTGATAACTGTTAACTAGATGATTTTCTTCCTTTTTTTTTATGAGTATGAATATGCTCGATGCATATTTTGCACTATTGACTCAAGAAATATAATTAGCTATGTCTACACTGTGTCCATGCAAGAGGCCCTCATGTTATCGAATTACAACTCACAAATTAGTCAGCAACAAAGATCAAGTTTGAATAAGAATCAGTTGAAACGATGAGCCAATATAACCAAGCAACAAACATTTTCATGAAGGATATAGAAAAATTTCATCGAATATTATAAACATAACGAATTCTTCTAAAAGTTGAAGAAAATGTATATGTCAATGAAAGACAACATATCATTCATTCAATCGTTTGTCGATAATGGCTTAGGAAAAACATCATCGCTTATTCTACGCAACATATTAGAATCACGTCTGGATAAGTACGAGATATGTTTAGATCATTATACATCATGATATGCCACTCTTGGTTCTAATTATTAAAAGAATAATGAGAGAGAGTATGATTTTATGTCTTCTCTACCACATCCATACCCACTCTGCACCGACATCAACACCCGTTCGGCAATAGTACGTGTGTTTCCTCTTTGGATAATAACCAAAAATACGTGAAATCACGTCTCGTTTATATAACTTCCGAGTCTTATAAGAGTCTTAAAAAAAATCGAATAGATTTTATTTGCATGCTATCTTTTTGTCGCCATTGTATTTGCCATCGAGAAAATCGGGATTGTAGGTACTCCGATATTGCGAGTAACATTCAACAGCTAGTCGATCACAATCACATGCCTTCCGATCACACGTATTCTCTCGATCTGTACATTGAATTCCGCCATTGGATAATTCTTTCCAATCATAAGTGACAAGCTTTGGTGAACAACCGAAAAATCCGCCCGAAATACTTTCATAACATTGATCATGCAATTGACAACATCGATCTGTGTTATCAAATATTTTCCAACCATAGTTACCCCAACCACACCTATGAACTAACTATTCAATTGTATTCAAAAACAAAAACAATAGATAAAATCAACATACCAACAACCATAGCCGATGTAGTCCAGTGAGCTGAAACCTTTATGATTGATCATGTGTTTAAATTGAATAAGATTTCGCTGCGGTATTCCTGCATGTATTCTTCCTAGTAGGGAGAGAACAAATATTAAAATGAAACTCGTTGCCATCTTTGGCCTGTAGAGCAGAATGTACGCGTTTGTATTTATAAAAGACATAATATAAAAACTTTTATTAGGAATAATTAAAACGTCAAAGATAAAAAAAAAACTGAAATATATGATTGTTTGTGACAAGATGTCATTTTTCGTATCTATTATGCTCACAATAATGATCATATAGACTTAAAGGTTTGCCAGTTGATTTACGACATTGAATTATTGTTTTCTTGTGCCGCTGAGAAGTCCATATTTATGAAGTCACTTAACTTTTCACCTTACTACCGAGATGTTTTTATTGTCCTGATAAACACGACGAAAAGGCTACTGTTTCTGATTATAGATTATGAACTTATTATTCTACTGACCAAAATATGAATTTCAAAGGTTTCAAGGATAGACACAAAAATATTAATATTATGTAATCTGTCAGATAGGTATGAATATGTGTGTATAGATGAGGCTGAGAAAAAGATCTTCATCCATCCTCACCTCCTTGATAGGCTTATCAGTTAGTTTCAACTCTGACTCGTCATAGATTATACTATTCTTTCGGGTGCGACAGCTTTGAATGGTTTTAGGATCTGTCAATATATAGAGAAAATTGGAAAATGAACAACAAAACTATTCTTGTTCATTGAACCATCCGATGGGCATAGCACATTTACTTTATTTTAAAATCAGGAATATTGTATTTTATTACTGATAGTAAAGCTACTTCATCTGTTTTATATGGCTGAGCTTTCTATTGCTGTTCATGTAAGCTTTGAATTTCCAGTGTACCTGGTTGTTATTATGATTTACTACTGATCTGATATTTATTTTCTAGATCTCATAGAATTATATAAACATTTAAAAGTAGAATACAACCATCCACTTCAAAACACTGCAAGATAGACATCCCTCACATGATCATTCCATAAATCTTTTGATTCAAGAATGTTCGAAAGAGAAGTTGATACTGACATTGTCATTTTATACACCTATTACCAATAATTTTGAGTATCGATTTTTAACAATCATTGCTTTTTAGTAATTGACCAGTGGTCTCGTTATCAAATATCATACAAGCCAATACATTGAAAATGTTTTACTATTGGCTATTGACGAATACTTTTTCGAGAAGCTCTTTTTAACAGTATGACGAGCAATATCCTTCATCAAAATGCATTCTTCAATTATTTCATACAAAGTAATAATATGTTGTCATTGAATCCTAGAAAAGGATGATTGATAAAGAACATGATTATTGAATGATAAATGATGATCAATATTTTATTTAACAAACATTTTTAAATATCGTATGCTCAAGAAGAGTATGTCTCAAGTAAATAAAAATCTGGCCAACCGAATCGAGATAATGCATAATAGTGTCATAATTCATTTCGTCTATGAAACAACTAAATTTTATTCGTTTGTTCTTCGCTAGTCTTCCTTACTTGATACG